ACAAACAAACAAACAAACAAACAAACAAACAAACAAACAAACAAACAAACAAACAAACAAACAAACAAACACACCCATTGTACGCACCGACTTTCCAGTCTGCGTGCCACTCCTTTGTTCCAAATCGTTTCGTGACCTCGCGCACGTGGTGAACAAACTCCATTCCCTGCAGCCGTCGCACACGCACCACCAGCGGGGGACCCTGCTTCTGCTTGCACTCCCGCTAACGTTGTGAAGACAATGGTGGTGGTGGTGGTGGTGGTGGTGATGAGGAGAAGGATGAGAAGGAAGAGCGTTCGAGATACAAAATGTTAACGGTTGCAGAAGCACACACACACACACACACACACACACACACAGACAAACACACACACACAGACAAACACACAGACAAACACACATACACACTCACAGACACCCACACACAAACAGAGCACGGTTGCCACCGCCGACTCACGAAGAACTGATCGCGTTTCATTTCGTAGGAGACCAGGCCCAGGCTGGCAACGGCGTCAAAGTAGCGCGCAAGAAACACAGTGCGCTGCGGGCATTTCACAACGAGCGGATCCTGTTTCCGGTCATCCAGCACAATAACATCTGGAGACAACTCCATCAGCTCCTTCAAGTCGGCCGCTGCTGACCCGAGGTGTGCGCACGACGCCAACGCGCTGCTGCTCACGTGCGTGGATGTGCTGGCAGATATGCGGGCCGCAAAGACCTTTGACGTGAAGATGAACGCCCACGACTCGCGTACAGATACCTGGCGCGGGGTGAGATAGAGCCATCCTTTGCACCAGCTCTTCGTGCGCGGCCGGTAGAATTGCGCATCCCAGTAAGTCTGGTCGGTCGTTAGTTGGTTGGTTGATGATGATGATGATGATGATGATGATGATGATGATGATGATGATGATGATGATGATGATGATGATGATGATGATGATGATGATGATGATGATGATGATGATGATGATGATGATGATGGTGGTGGTGGTGGTGGTGGTGGTGGTAACGGTGGTAATGGTGGTGGTGATGTGGATGGCGACGGTGCACAGTCAAAGCAGCAGTGTGAGCCTGGGATAAACACACACAGTTGAAAACATTCACTCGCACACGCACACACACACACACACACACACACACACACACGCATACAACCGCACGCACACACACACGCACACACACACGCGCACACACACACGCACACACACACAACTGCACTTTCATCGCCAACAGACCGTTGATGTGCGCTGCTGCGCCTGTAGCATCTGCTTGTGCGTGAGGGCGACGATGAGGGCGCGGCGCGTTGCGAGCGAGTGCTGCTCACCACGGCGACGAATGTGAACAGCAACTTCATACACGCCACACTCCCGCGCTGTGCACGTGATGCTCGTCCGCGCCCCCGTCACCTCAACCGCCGTCTCCACATACTGCAGTGCCACACGTGTGTGTGTGTGTGTGTGTGTGTGTGTGTGTGTGTGTGTATGTGTATGTGTGTGTGCGTGTGTGAAGTGAAACAATGACAGACAAGTCGGGTGATAAAAGGCAAGGTATTTCGCATTGTACAAACATGTGCATATGCGCGTCTACGTAGACCAGGAGCGTGTGTGTACCTGTGACGATGGCTTGTGTGGGGGAGAGCAGGGTGTGACCTCGGCGTGCACCTCCATGTCGGGATCAAGAACCGTCTCGTTGGCGTGTGCATCGTGACTGATACAAGAAAACACGAAAGAACAACACAGTGGGTCATATGTGTGCACAACAACACGGGCACAGCACGTCGTTGCGCATGCCTTCGCTCGCACCCGCGCCCGCACCCGCACGCACACAAACACACACACATGCAAATGCATACGAATGTCCACAATGAAAGCACGTAGACATGCAGCCGCACATGGAAAGATGGAGGGCAAATGGGGCGAAAATCTCGACTGTTTCTCTCTCCGGCGTCAGCGTGGACTTTTCAAGACACGCGGGGCCTGAAAAGGACAGCAGGGTCGCACGTGTGAGTGTACGCGAGTGAGGGAAGGGGGTGTGCAGAGAGCGAGGGACACAGGGAGATGGAGCTCGTCTAATTTGTGCGCGCGTTTGTGAACAAACGCAGTCTGTGCAAGAATGCACCACGACCAGTCCCTTCCACCTTCTACCGCACCTGATGTCACAATGACAATGTGCGACGTGGGAATCTGATGGCCCTTCATGGTTGCACTGCAATGAACGTGTGTGTGTGTGTGTGTGTGTGTGTGTGTGTGTGTGTGTGTGTGTGTGTGTGTGTGTGTGTGTGTGTGTGTGTGTGTGTGTGTGTGTGTGTGTGTGTGTGTGACATGGTGCGGTGGCAACAGACATTGCAGCAAGACCTGACACCTGAACATGGACAGAGAGCATCACGGTGGCAAGGCACCACAACAGGTGTGTCATGGTGTGTCACCACGTCAAGAGTGGCCAAGAACTGCCGCGCATACCTCACGGTGTAGTCACCGGGCACGGTGGGAACAAACGAGGTGACAATGCTGGACCCTTTCTTCTCCACGACAGGCGTAACGCTTGTGTTCTGTGGACACGAAACAAGGGGTGTCGGTTGCACGTGGGTGCTAAGTGCCTGTACCTGGCGTCTGTTCGCTTTGGTGTTGGTGTTGTTGCTGCTGTGTTGCGACGCAGGTTCCAAGCAAAGTTGCAGCTGCATAACAGCGTGCGCGCGCGTGGTGTGTGTGTGTGTGTGTGTGTGTGTGTGTGTGTGTGTGTGTGTGTGTGTGTGTGCGTGTGCGTGAAGGACGACGCACCTGTGGGGTTTCAATGGAGGGCTCAAAGCCAGCCGTAGTGATATCTTCGCACGGCTTCCCTTGCACAGTGAAGAAGGAGAAGCGAAACGTCACCACATCCCCGGCCTGAGTGAGCGCATTCGCGTGCGTTAATGTGAGGACATGCGCGCGCTTGTTGTAGAAACGTGCCACCAAAATGCGTGTCGCATCGACACGCACTTCATGCACACATACAAACACAGACACGATCAAACAGCCAGGCAACCAAACAACCACAGGACCAGAGGAACAACACTTTGCCACACACATACCACACACACACACACTCTCTCTCTCTGTCTCTCTGTCTCTCTGTCTCTCTCCCTCACACACACACACACACACACACACACATACACACACACAAACGGAGGACACAGCGCATGCCCGGACCTTGACGTGGTCGACACCTTTCACTGTTGTTGACGTGACATCGAGGTAGTCACCGGTGAGTAAAGCATTCCAGCTCCCGATGTTCTGTTGCCGCATGTACGCTTTCACACTCTGCAGCACTTGACGCTGCACCCACACCAACGCACATTCGTGTTGTGTGGTGACGCGACGAGCAGAATAACGAGCACAGAGAGGGAGCAGCGGTGCGCACACACACACACACAGCAGGCAGCTTGCCCCCCCCCCACCAAAAAACTCTGTCAACAACAACAAGTGCCGCTTTGACCTTTGCATGCGACCGTCGACTCAACGCTGCCAACGACTCACCGCGCCGTACACCACGACGCCGACAAAGATCAGCTCCCAGAACATGGTGTTGGTGTTGGTGTGTCTGCTTTGTTTGTGGAAAATGCGATGTGTCCGCCGTGGCTGCTTTTTGATGAATGATGGATGGATGAGTCACGATTGTTTGCTTGTTTGGATGTTTGTTGACTTGCGATGCATTGCAAGTCACAAGCCACAGAAGTACAGCTAGACTAGAGTGTCACAACAACATCACATCACTCGCAGAGGCATCAATCTAGCAGTCTCTCATGCCTTGCCTCGTGTCGACAGAGTCGACAAGAGACGTTTTCCAGTATTGTCTGCTGCTTAGTGCCATCTTGAGTGAGCCAGCTTGCTAGCTTGTTTTTCGTTTTGAGCCACGAGATTTGCTTCCTTGCTTCTTGTACTCTTGTCTTCTTGTATGACCCAGCCCAACGCCGGCACGCGTCTGCTGTCTTGTGCGTCTTGCAACAGGACCAGGTCGTCCACAAGATGGAAACACGCAGCAAGTGGTTGCACGTATTCACTCTTAAGTCTTTCCGTGTCACATTCAAGCATTCTGTATTGTTGTATCGTCAAGTGGCCATGTACTTTTTTACATCCTGCTATATGCTATCTATGTAACTATCTGGTTCGGGTTCTCATCACATGCATTCCCTCTTGTGCTTCTTCCAGTGCCACCACTGCTGCTTGATGTAGGACACTCGGATACTTTTATCACACAAAGGCCACAAGCAAGCGAAGGGCAGAGCATCCCGGAGCAGCGTAGCGTAGCGGAGGGTCTGGGTATCCTATCGACAAGTCGATTTTTCAGCGTCTCGGCCCAAGCAAGCAGCTCAAGCAAGCTAAGGCTAGAAGGCTTCCACCAAGCTTGCAGCACGACCAAATAAAGGGGTGTGTGTGTGTGTGTGTGTTCGTGAGAGAGAGAGGCACAGGTGCAAGGGCGAAGCGTGGCTTGCTGACTGTTGCGTTGTGTGTGTTTGTGTGTCCATATCTGATTGCCGAATTTGAATTTGGCGGCAGAACATTGAAAACGAAAACACGCGCCAACCAAGCAAGCAACCAACCACCACCTCGCCTTTGCTGCACGCCACCACATACAGCACACACACACACACACACACACACACACACACACACACACGACACACACACACACACACACACACACACACACACACAGTTCGTTGTCTCCTCCAGCACAGCACGACGACACGCTCAGACACCAACATACACATATCGCATCACATGAGCCATGCGGAACAAGGTCTTTGTGGCAGCCATCCCCATGCAAAGTGATCGCGCAGCCGTCGCGCGCATCTTTGAGAAGTGAGTGCAACAGAAGGGGGGGGGGGCGTTGGAGAGCAGCGCAGGCGATAAGTGCAGCTGCTCAGACAGGCAGACCGATAGACGCACAGCTGCTCAGCTGCACACACACACACACACACACACACACACACACACACACACACACACACACACACACAC